AGATGTTAAATAACATTGGAGAGAAGATTCCTCCCTCGATAACCCCATACATTAGGGGGTACCCTGGTGACACCCTCTCCTCCAGCACCACCCTCTGTCCCTGACCATGGAGAAATGAGGTAAACCATTGTGAGGCTACCCCACAGACTCCCAAGTTGGTGAGGCAGTGAATCATAAGATTGTGATCAACTGTATTGAATGCTGCTGTGATATCTAACAAGAACAATAATGCTGAACCACCCAGAACCAGCTGACAGAGATTGTCTGTCAGGGTGACCAACATCATCTCTGTCCCATGGCCAGGATGGAAGCTGGACTGTAATGGATCCAGTGCTGATGTGTCATCCAGAACGTTCTGGAGCTGCTTGGCTACCACTCTCTCAATCACCTTATCCAGAAACAATACATTCGAAACTGGGTGGTAACTGGCAGGATCCTTCAGATCCAGAGATGGCTTCTTCAAAACCGGTACTACCACAGCCTCCTTTAAGCTCTCTGGATAGATCCCTTTCTCCAAGGACAGGTTAAGAATGTCTAGCAAAGAGCACTGCATCCTCTCATCACCAGCTTTAATTAGCCATGAGGGACACAGATCGAGGAGGCATGTGGTTGGCCTAACAGCACCCAGGATCCTGTCAACATCAGCAGTGGAGAGGAGGCTGAAGTTGTCAAGAACTGAATCCAAAGCTGGCCAAGGGGCCTCCAATTCACTTACTGTATCAACATTGAAGGGTAGGTCACAGCGGAGCGACAAGATTTTCTCCGCAAAAAAGCTTGCAAATGCCTCGCAGCAAATGGCCAAATTTCTAAATTTTGGGATCGTCTCTGTGAGGGATGTCAAAGATTTAATTATCCTAAACAATAGTGCTCGGCATGAGCTAGCAGACACAATAGAGGCTGAATAGAATTCTCTATTTGCAGCCTTCACTGCCACCTCATAGGATATCATAAGTGTCCTATAAAATGCTCTTGAAGCTTCGTCCTGAGAATGCCACCAGACTCACTTGTCTGAGCTCCCGTTTCATCCCCTTGAGTTCTGTAGTATACTAGTGGGATGTTCTTTGGTGGGAGTGAAGAGGACATTGGGGAACAACTACACTGATGGCTTCAGAAAGACGGGTGTTCCAGTCTTCTATCAGCTCATCCAATCAGTCACCAGAAAGCATCAGATCCCGCAGAGCATTCTGGAACCCAATTGGGTCCATTATTCTCTGTGGGAGAGCAAAAAACCATCTGTCCCCATATGTCCACGGTAGAGCCTTGTGGTCTGCAGATCAACACCTTCTGGTAGTCCCCAGCCCAAAAGAGATCCACCTAGCCTTGACCAAGGCCAGGGCCTGGTGGAATATGTTCCCACTTGAGATCAGGATCCTGTGGGATTTATTACAATTCCACAGGGCCTGTAAAATGAAACTGTTCCGCCAGGACTTTGGCTGAGGCAGCAGACGGCTATCTCGGCCTCCACTGCTCATACTTGCCCTATCTAATGGTCCTACGATGCTAAAGGGATTTGCATAGCATCTTCTGGTGAATTGGATGCCTTATCAGCCACCTCGCCAGCACCCATGCAGGAGGCACTTTGGACTATCACGAACTGGCCTGCCATCTTATTCTGAACTGGTTTTAAACTGGATTTAAATTGTATATATTTTAATATTGTTTTTACTGTGAAATGACCTGTTGTGACCTGCCCTGAGACCGCTTGTGGGGAAGGGCGGGATATAAATCAAATCAAATAAATCATATAACTAAGAGCAGAAACATTCCCTCAGATTTTACCTCCCCACCCTTTCCCCACCCCTCAGAGGCCACTCCACTACCCAGATCGAGGTTGTACCTCCCACTCCACCTAACATTAAAATGGCGTCTCATTGGGCGGGGAAAGGACTAGGGGTGTTCAAGTTTTGTTTTCCAGCTGGGCTACCCTCTCCTGCTGCCCAGTTTAAATGGGCCAGCTGGAGAAGGCAGCATGGAGCTGCACCTGCCTGGAGCCATCGGGTCCCCTCAGGCATAGCAAGCCCGGTTGGGCCACCCTCCCACACCACCAAGTCTAAGCAGGGCAACAGGAGCAGGCTGCTCATCTGGGCTCACTCTGCCTGAGGGGAGCTGATGGCTCCCTGCAGGGGCAGCTCTGTGCTGCCGTCTCTCTCTTTTTAGAAACGGCATAAGTGTAACGCTAGACTCATGCTGCTTGTTTTAAAAAAGGAATGACTCCCGGCTGCAGGACGCGGACCCCTCTTTTGAGGATGAGCCGGCTGCAAGCAAGAGTTCTTGCCACGTCAGAGGGAAGCAAGAAGGTGGACCGGGGAAGGCAAGAGCGGGGAGGAGAACAGAGCTGACTGCGCCCTCTGGAGTGCACCCCCACAGCTGCTGCTGTTTCAGTTGCCATGGCTGAGGAAGAAGGGAGCAGAAAAGAGGCAGCGGTGGCAAGGGGCAAGGCAGAGCTGAGCCTGGGTGAAAGGAGGAGGAGAAGCAGAGGAGACAGCAGGGTGGGTGCCTGCTGCTTTCCCTCCCTCTCCACAGCATTGTGCATCTGGAGAGAGGCAATGCCTGAGGTGGGAGGAGGAGCGGGAGGAGGCAGGAGCAGAGGCTGGCCAGCCAGTGATGGAGCCGTGCGCAGGAGAGACAAAGCCGGCCCGGAGAGCAGCGTCTGGGCAGGACCCATCTCCTCCACTTCTCCCAGGCTCTTATTTCGCTTAGCTTTTTTTCATTTTAAATTTCCCCACCCCCCACTCTCTCCTGCAAGTGAAAAACAGTGGATAGAGAGATTGCAGGTGTGTGTGCGCGCACGCGAGCGAACTTTTGCATTGTTTTCAGCCTGATCGAGCAAGCAGTGACCATGTACACAATGGCAAATGCTGAGCTGCCTTTTGATACTTCAGCACTTTAGTCCTCCACATCCCAGCCTTGAGCCTCCTCTTTCCCCGCTGCTGATGCCCTGCAGCTTGGTGTTCTCATGCGCGCGCGCGCGCGCGCACACACACACACACACACATGCTGCCAACCATCACAGCTTGCAATGCCAGTGGGCTCTACTGTGCATTTTGTATACTCCACATGTCCCCCCAGATGATGAGATCATGTGACTCTTTCCACTTCCCCTTCCCCCATCTATTTGCTTTCCTTGTTTCTTTCTTTCCACCTCTTTCATTCTTTCTTCTCACCTCTTTCTCTCTCTCTCTCTGACAAAACAATATAATTAGCAAACAAATAAATATCATTGGACAAAGAAATATCATTACCAATATCTGTTTTACCACTTTTGTTTTTATTTTTGACAGTCACATTCAGAGTTCCCTCTAAGCTGAGTTAGTGTGAGCTAGCTCATAGTTTTTTAGCCTCCACAAGACAAAGTAGCCGGCTTGCAGGCCGGCTTATATGCCCCAAGGAAAATACACACACCCCACACCCGTGAATGGTCTGTTTACACGGATTAGATTATTCCTGGGGACCCTAGGTTCCCGATTGGTCGGGAACTAGGATCCGAACGTCTATTGTGTTTGGGAGCGAAGCTCGGGTACCTCACCTGACCGCATGCGGAACCAGCCGAAACTGGATTGAGCACATGGCTAGGTCAGGACGCAACATGCGCAAAACCTGAACCATGAAGATTTTTATGGGGGGTGCTTGATGGATGGTACTGCACAGCTGTGATAGGGAAATTATGTGAATTTTAAAAAACCCATATCTCTGGATGCCACCCCCCCTTACATCACAAGTGACATTCCCACCCCAATCAAGAGAAACTGCAGAGAAAAAAGAATAGTGCATAAGGCAGGCACACAAATCCAAAGTCAAACTTAAAGGCTTGATTGCTCAGACTCTCCAGTCGTCCTAGGGGTGGGGCAGTCTTCACCTGGGATAGTAGCTCCTCTTCTCTGAAGGCAGGGTCATCATTTTTGCAATCCCAGAGGGAAGGGGCTTATCCCAGAACTCTTGAGTTTGTTCAGCCCTGCTTAGCAGCAGGACGTCTTCAGCAGTGCTGTTCAGATCACCGTGATCCCGTTAACCAGCTTACCTGAAATAACTTTTTAGCAAGTCACTGGATTGGAAAATAGAAGGTTGACAGCTGCCAGAGTAACATTTGCAAGGAAATGGAAAACAGAAGAATGTCCCAAAGTAGAGATTTGAAAGAAAAATTAGCTGAGTATACAACAATGGCAAAACTAACTATACAAATAAATGACCGCTGAAAGAATTACAGCAGAAATGGCAAGCCTATTATATTGAGAGTAGTTAAATTTCTTGAACATGTTTGAATTTATCTGAATAATACATAAAAGGGGATGATATCGATTACAGTTTAAATCTCTTTATCTAATACTCGATTAAGTAGTTAAGATATTTAGTAAAAATAAGACTTATAAGACTTATAATGTGATAAATGATTAAGATAATATACAGGTTTTAAGGATGATGTACAATGATATACAAATCTGTTTAATTGTTAAAGGTGTAATCTTGTTTATTTTTATTAGAGTATCACTGAATATTTGGAAATATTTTCTTTCTTATTTCAAACAGAGTACTATTATCTATCCAGACTGGCCGAGGCTTTCCATGGTCTCTGGTGGAGGTCTTTCACATCATTACAACATTATCCCTTAAACTGGAGATGCCGGGGATCAGAGTTTTGTTTCCCCCTTTTAAAATTTGTTGTATCATCATTGATCTTATGTTGTTGTTTAATCATTTCATTGAGCAGTGAGCTGTCTCCAGCAGTTCTGTGGAGAACTTAAAACCTCTTAATAAATAAATATGTGCCATCTTCATTTTAATCTTTCTGCTTGTCTTCATAGATGCACATTTTTGACCTCTCTCCCCATTTCAAAATCTGTATTTTAAAAAACATTGTTTTTATCTTGTGTGAGTATTTTTATCAGTTTAATGGACTGGTGTTTTTGTGTTCCTGAAACTTCTTGCCTTGTTATTTACTTTTCTTAAAATTCTCACCCTGATGCATAGGTTTTATGGAATCTAAAGTACACGTTATTGTGGATATGAATGACATATACATGATGCTGAAGTCACACTTTTTCTTTCCAGATGCAGATAGTTGCACCAAGTGCCCAGAAGATCAGCATCCCAACCTGGATCACACTCAATGCATTCCCAAAGATATTACTGTCCTTTCTTATGAGGAGACTTTGGGGATTATCCTCATTGTTTTGGTCCTGCTCTTGTCCATAGTTACACTGCTAATTCTAGGAATCTTCATTAAATATAGTGATACGCCGATAGTCAAAGCCAATAACCGAGACCTCACCTATATTCTTCTCGTCTCACTCCTGCTTTCCTTTCTGTCCTCCCTTCTATTCATTGGCCAGCCAAGGAGGGTGACCTGCCTTCTCCGACAAACCACCTTCAGCACCATCTTCTCAGTTGCTGTCTCTTCTGTGTTGGCTAAGACAATCACTGTGGTGGTGGCGTTCATGGCCACCAAGCCAGGAAACAGGATGAGGAAATGGCTGGGGAAGAGTCTGGCAAACTCTATCGTCATTCTGTGTTCCACTGTTCAAATTGTCCTTTGTCTCACCTGGCTGGGCATCTCTCCCCCCTTCCCAGAGTTTGACATGCACTCATACAGTGCACAGATCATATGGCAATGCAATGAAGGGTCTGTGGCCATGTTTTATGGTGCCCTGGGCTACATGGGCATCTTGGCTGCCATCTCCTTCACAGTGGCTTTTCTGGCCAGGAAGCTTCCTGGGGCCTTCAACGAGGCCAAGCTGATCACCTTCAGCATGCTGGTCTTCTGCAGTGTTTGGGTGTCCTTTGTGCCCACCTACCTGAGCACCAAGGGGAAATACATGGTAGTCATGCAGGTCTTCTCCATCTTGGCCTCCAGTGCTGGGCTGCTGGGCTGCATCTTCATCCCCAAATGTTACATCATTGTAGTGAGGCCTGATCTGAATATCAAGGACCATCTCATGGTGAAAAGCCAAGATGGAATTTGATTCTCAGTACAGTATTTTTACTTTTTGCAATTTTAATGCCTGTGTTTTCTCTAAACTTGCTCACAATTGAACTCTGATATACAACTGAGGAAAATTCCCTTCACATACGTCATGATAGATACTAGTCTCAAATCACGAAGGCAAATACTAAACAGCATAGCAATGGCCATAGCTAATTTCCTTAGTATTAACCGTTGATCTCAACCTGCTTCCCAGCTGATCATGTTCATATGTTCTTATTGAATTGTATAGAGTAGCTAGTCTCACATAGACTTGTGAGTTGGATGGGGGGACAATTGGGGAAGATTACCTGCTCTCTCATTGATACCTTTATTTAAAACATCTTTATAATCCCTTTCCACTTTATCAGGTCCCCCAAGACAATGAAAAGATTAAAACATTTTGAAGGAACTCCATCAACCTTGTG